TTTTGTCCCTATTGAAGTGAAGAGTTATGAATTTTGTCCCTCAAAAAAGGATATAAGTGATCTGTGAAATTTTATATTTTAAATACTTTAGGGACCCATCATTAGCTATGGTGAGTTTCAATGTTATTTGAAACCTACCTCTCATGGTTAAACTGAAAGAACCATTGGATAACTCATAGTTATTGATATCAAATTTATCTTTAACGATAATTATCTGATTATTGTCAGGTTGATTGCCATTATGCTCAATCAGCTTTTGGATGTTTCTTTCAATTGGATAAGTCAAATGATTGATCAAAATGCTGCGTCTGATTTCCTGAGTACCTTCTGATGCTGCTTCGTGTTGTGAAGGAGGAGGCTTGAGAGTGATTACTTTACTCTTCACTTTTTTTTATGAAGTTTCAGCTGTTTCAACCTCCATAGTTGTTTGTATTGTGCCTTGTTTGTGTATTCCGTTATAGTGTTTCTTCCTGGCAGTATAGCTAGTAAAGTTAAGACCGCACTTTAAACACTTGTATGGTTTAGGATGCGAAGGTTGTTTTCTTGTAGTTTTCTTGTTAGCAGACATACTAGGTTTTTTGCCACCCTGTTGTTTACCTTTTCTAGGTCAACATTTTCTTTTCTTGTTAGAAGAGCCTGGTGCAGGTTGTGTGGCAAGGACTTGTTGTTTAGAGTTACTAAAACAGACCAAAGAAGTTTAACCTATCTATTTGGAAAAGAACTCCTTTACTTGAGATAACTGTTCAGTTAATCCCATGTACTTGAATATAATACTATATGGAAAGCTTATTTCCACTGAGATATTCATTATCGTTATGATTTGGATATAAAAAAAAATAAAAATCATGTTCTTCCTTTCTTTCAAAAATTTTCTAATAAGAAAATTTTTACGAATTTTGATAGAAGTGAAAAAGAGTTTTTTTTTTTCATATAATATACTTGTATAGTTTTAAATATTTCTTTTTTTTTTTTTTTTTTTTTTTTTTTTTTCTTTTATAGTTTCTTGAAAATAATTCTTTGAGGATAATAAGCAATGACAATCTGCTAGCAATAATAGGTAAATTAAAAGAATATTCATTTAAAATATATTACTGAGTAAAATATTGTTTTCAAGGTTATACTTAAAATTGAAAGCCATTGATGGGTATGTTAGTATGGGTTTTTAGTTTAGATATAATGCAATTGTCCTATGTATTTTTATCAATTTTCATAATAATTAATAAACATATAGTACTGACCTAAAATTACAGGTTTAAAAAAAAAATTGGTAATATAATAAATATATTTATATATAGTATTAGTAGAAAAATAAAATTTTCAAATATTTTTCTTAAAGTATTTTTTTTTTAAGAATAAATAAGTTTTTCAAATATCATGAAACTAAAGAATATCCTAATTAAATAAATATATTTTCAAAGGAAATTGTTAAAATAAATTCTGAATTTTTTAAAAAAACTTTAAATTGTTTTAATAATTTATTGTTTTTTAAAATAATCAATAATAATAAATTGATAATAATGATTCTAATAATTAGAAATTAAGTTTAAACTATTGAAAAAATATAATATTTTCTCTTAAATCTAACTTAGAATACTTAATTGAAATTTGATTTTGTTTAATTCAAACTAATTTAATAAATTTTTCATATTTTTTAAATAGTATAGTTCTTTGATTAATAATATATAAAAATAAGTTAATTTTTTTTTTTTTTGGGGGGGGTGAAAGGTGCTAATAGCACATGTTTATTAAGTAATTAAACCCATTACATGATTATAACGGTCTATCTAAATTAATCCGTCCCTATCACCTATAGACTTACCTGGTTATACCAATTTACACCCCGTAGGTGGGTCCACATTTCAGGCTAGATCTTTAGGAGGTGGAAATTCTATCACTAGTTTTAAACCACCTGATTTAATCTAGATCCTGACATTCTACCCTTTACTAGGACTCATAATAACCTTCTATACCTTACCACCTCTTAATCACGTCTTTGGTTCCCGCAGCTGTGAATGGATCTAAATGCATCTGTGCACTGCTTAGTCAATGCTTCGAGAACTTCATCCAATGGTTGGCACACACTACCAAACCTAGGAATTATTCACCAATAGGGACGTGACTCCTGAATCTCCTAGTAGACTTATCTATCGGGTTCTCGATTAACGTTAGCTATCAAATCTAGGAGTTATTCACCAAGTAGGGTGCAACTCCTACATAGGGATAGCACCAGTAATTTACTTACATCACCTGTTAAAGTTCTATCATTGATCCCTGAGGGGCTTAATGCTTCGTGTTACTGATCTTGAGGACCATCATACTCCTACCGGATGATCGTTATGCTACGACACCTTTTCTGAAGATCACAATCCCAACACTTATTGAACCAGTGTGTGAAATGGTTTTTTATGAAAAACAGTGCATTACAGGTTATAACACCAGATATCATATTAATTCTATTCAGCTGCCTTCACCAGGAGTTGAACTGGTATCTTGTGATCTGACCTATGGAGCACTAACCACTGTGCTATAGATCCACAGGTATAAAAAATCTATTAATTTATAAATAAAAATGTGTCATTATAACATAATTATAAATTAATAAAATAAAATATTAAAAAAAAGCTTTAAATTTTTTAAAAGAAAGATATTAAATTTAATTTTTTTTTTTTTTGTTTTAAATAATTTATATTTCTTTTTTTTACTATTTTCCTATCATAACTTTTTATTTACTTTAGTATTATAAAAGAACAATAACAATTAATTGATTATATTAAATCAAATTTAGAATAGTTTAATTTAGGTTTTATTATAATGATTTATTGGTACTAGTAGTTTTACAACAATAAAACATTGTTTTATTAAATCTCAAGTGTGTACATAGCACTATCACAAGAATAGAAAACTGTCATATATAGTATTGTTTTGTAACAGTGAGTAAAGGCGCTAAAAATTTTTTTTGAATTAAAAAAAGCTTTTCATTGGTACAACGTATCTCTACGCGTACAAAGGGCACGTTTATTCTAAATTAGGTCAATCTTTAATGCACGAGACGTCGTTCGCATGGTATCACCGGTTAAATTTAGTGGCTAAGTTTTAGGGCCATGTAGCATATATTCATAGCTGCTCGTAGCGTTTCATAAAGTAATATATTTTCACCCCCCAAAAAACTCATCTGTAGTTTTTGATTCCACTCCTTAAGAGCTAACGAAGAGGGATGGACGTCCAGCAAGATCAGCGCATTAGCAAACTATTACCCACGGTAAAATGTTCCGATTGTGGAGAAACAGTGGAGTTTCGAAACCTAGCTGACCATTTGTGTTCAGTTGCCCCGGCGGTTCCAGAATTACCTCTTGCTTACAAGAACAACACAAAAATAGGTATATAATTAACAGCATGTTTTAATTTTCAAAACCACGCATTAAGAACGTCTTCTTTTCGTTTAGGAAAGGGTGTAGTAACTAGCTCAAAAAAACAACCAAACCTCTCTCCTTTGTTTGTTGATAGTAGGTTTTAATTTCCATCAATGGTTTCCTCTTTTCATGTCATTTGTTAACCAATTGCGCCATCATATTTAGACGACTCTTCGTATTATGCGAATCCATCACCTACGGATTCTGAGCACTCGAATTACTCCAACAAATTCGTCGTTCCGAATGCTAACCCAACAAAAAGCAAGCCCGCTCGTTCATTCTTACAGAAGTACCAGCAAGTCACCGGGAAACCAATCAATTCGCCCTCTTTCCAGCCTCCTCCGACACCTACGTCTGAAAGAAGTTATTCGGACGCATCGGATTTACAGGATAGACCAGTGAATAACTCCAATGGAAATGGAATGTATTACAAGGATGCAGGCACTTTTGATAATAACATTATGCAAAAAAATCAAGGGTATGGGGCTAGTTTTCAAACAGATCGTGAACGGCAACCAGAGATTAGAAAGATGACTCACGCAAGACCTTACGATCAAGGATACGAATACCCCTCTTATGAGAATAATCAGAATCAATACAGAAATGAAGATCCATATCTAATGAAACAAAGGCAACCACATCCTAATAACAATCATTTAAATGGTAATATGGATCGTGGTCAAGGAAACTACCTCCGTAATCCTAACGATGGATATGGTAATGGAGAGTATATGCGTCGCGAAGAACCGCGTAGTCGTAGTCGTTCACCAGCACCAGGATATGATCGACAAAATTTCAATCAATTACAATCTCACTCATATGGTGCCTCACAGCCTCTCCGTCAAGCACCGTATGATCAGCATAATGGTCAACTACCATACGGCCAAGACAACTATCGATCGCAAAACCCTTACATACCACCACAAGAAAATAACAGTGATTCATCTTATATGTCAAATAACAACAATGGAGGTCACAAAAGTAAGAACGCTTCCTTTTCATCAACAGGATCTGCTGTGTCAGGAGGACGTAAGTGCAAAATACAATTTTAACAACGTACACAAATGGGCATATGTTTTGTTAACTATTATTTTCAATATAGAAAAATACGTTGAGAATAGAAATACTAATGGCTCTAATGGTTCCAAAGACTCATTTAAAAGCGATTTTGATGACTTAATGGAAGATTTGCTAAGGGAAATGGACAACATGCAAACCCCTTCCGCGCAAAATAAAGGAAAGTTAGAACAAAGTTCAAATCATTCGAAAACCCCGAGTTCTCCTGGGAAACAAAAAGTTCAAAGTGAAACTTGTGCTTACTGGTATTAATGTAATTCTTTCTCTGGTATTTCATTTTTAAACTATCAACTAAAGAAATTTTTTTCTTGTATTCAAGTAACCTGCAAATCAATTCCTCTCCAATGTGGGCTCTCGGTAGATCATGGCACCAGCATCATCTTCTCTGTGCAAAATGCAAAAAGCCCATTGATCCGGATGTGGGTCATGTTGAAAAGGAAGGAAAAGTATACTGCCCTAGCGATTTCACCGATCTATTTTTACCAAAATGTCGTAGATGTAATTTACCCGTAGAGAGAGAGGCTGTTAGCGCAAGTGATGGGAAGCTACAGGGAAAGTGGCACGTGAAGTGTTTTGGTTGTCATGTAAGATCAATTTTCTCTTTTGTTTAATTATTTGGTTACTTATTAATTAATCGCTCGATTTCATTTCCCCAGACTTGCGGCAAAGAATTCCCTGACAAATCATTCTACGTCTTCGAGAATGCACCATATTGTAAGCGACATTATCATAAGCTAAACAATTCGCTTTGCAGAGATTGTGACGAACCTATAGAAGGACCGTGTGCGGAAACAGATGAAGGATGGCGATATCATCCCCCTTGTTTTGTTTGCACTGTATGTATCACGTGAGATTTCAGAACCGAATATACATCATGTGCATTGCTAATCATACATCTATCTGCGAATAAAAAAATATAGGAGTGTCGCAATCCTCTCACCGACATTTATTACAGCTTTGAAAACAAATACTATTGCGAAACACATATAATGGAAATTCAACGAAGGAAAAATTTTCGGGCAAAAAAAAGACAAACTCTATTCCGAAACCTTTAATCGAAAGTTCGTCGCGAACGCTGTGTTATACTTTCGTGGTTATTTCGTATTTATTCTTCATTATTAAGCATTTTCACGGTGTTTGTCTTAGTCACTATTTAAAAATGCACTGTACTTTATACATTGTTTAATTATTCCATATGCAAACTAATAACCCACAATATCACAACTTGATAGAATTAATATTGCTATGATTTCCAATATACACTCTGATATTTTGTATATATCTTATATAGCTGCATTTCCTCTTTGATAATAAATTTAGTACCCGAAAAAACATTCTATGTTAAACATATTGTAATTGCCGGTAGCTCATTTGCCCATCTGATGCAATGGCCGAACTCTAAAAAGTCTGATATGAACTTATTTTTGAAGGCGGCCAAAATTACTAAATATTATTTTTTCAGTCCTTTATTTTCAATAATACGCATACAGTATACAGTAGTGCAAATAATTATGGGGTTGAGAATAATTACCACATCGGAGATTTACACTCGTGCAGATACATGCATATGCATTTGCATTGTTTTCAAGTGATTTCAAATTATAAAACCGGTTTATAGAAGATTCTGAAACCGATGTGCTATATAATTAATTTAATGCATTAACTGATCATATTTTTTTGAAGTACAGTATACAGTATATTAGAAAAATTTCAAAGATGTTAAATCGGCTATTATTGGAGAGGTTTTAAAGTACTACTTTATCTTGTTTTATCGGTTTCAAAATTTGTTTGAAAAACTTATTCACACCAGTAGAGATTTTTTCCAAAAATAAATGACATGGAAGTGGTGTAAGGTGCAGTGTTTTTTGCAGCTGCATTTGCATTGCTCTCGAGTGAAATCTCCGTACCTTGGAGTTTTATATTGGTTTCGCTTCATAGCGCTGAATGTGAAAAATCCGAAAATCAAATTGTAAATCGTGAAGTCAAAAAACAGAATTCAATTAGGATGTCAGACTCAAATGAAATAAAATAAAAAAGAAAGGTGGAAATAATGTATTTCACGTTGTTTAGATTCAAAGAAAGCATATTATATTAAATGATAATATATGGATGCGAAGAATTTTTAAATTATTAGAAACAAATTAGACCAATTTTGAGACAAATATAAATATGAAGCAATTACGAAACATGAACATGAAAGAAATGTTAATTTCAAATGTCGTGAAATGATTTTAAAACAATTCAATATAAATCTAATTTTGAAAAGTATGAGTTTAAAACAATTTTAAAAACTAGACATAAAATTTTAAGAAAAGCTATTATAGCTTATATGAATAATACAATTTGAATTGTTAAATCAAAACAAAGTATAAAAAATACTGTATATTGGAAGAAGTCAAAAAATTCTATATAATTAATGACTCTCAAATCAATAGCAAGAAATCAGTTCTTTTAATATTCCAGTAAAATCTCAAGAATTAGAAATTATTTATGTACTGTAAAATCAAATTATAAAATAGTTAATAAATTATCAAATACTAATGAATATAAAATATAATATATGTATTCTAATAAAAAGCTCTATAAAAATTTTATAATTATTCAATATATAAAAAATATATGAATTTAAAAGTATATAAAAAATATAATAAAAAGTCACAGTATATGTTATTTTTATTTTATTAACTTACAGCAATGTTATTGTTAATATTATCTTAATTATTTATTTTAACAAAACTAAAAAATATATTAAAAATATATTATTATTTAAAATAATATTATAAAAAATAATAGACCTACGGATCAATAGTGCAGTGGTTAGCACTCCGTAGGTCAGGTCACAAGATACAGGTTCAAATCCTCCAGGGGGCTAATGTGATTCCCCTGAGCTAAAAGCAGGTAGAATCTGACAAATCATCCATTGGCTTAACTGTATATAACCGATGTTTCTGAGTATAGCTGGTGCAGATCAAGATGATCAATAGTTTTCATTGTGTTATGTTGAAAGTCAAAATCTTCACAATACAGGACGGTCTATACAAAGATTGTGATCGGTCCCTATCCGAAACCGAATAGGATTATCCCTGATAAGGATCATGTTATCACCTGTTGGTAACAAGAAGAGTAGACCCCTAAACCGGTTGCATACCACTGAGGAAGGATTGACTGAAGATCTTATCTGATTTCAAGACTTCAAGCATATGTCTATGCATTGACCCATAGACTTAACAATCGGGAGGTCTTGATAGGAGGAGAAATCCGCGGACCACTCCGAAGGATCAAAAACTGGATCCAGGATAAAGAAAATTCAATGGCCTGATAACTAGACTACTCTTAATAAAACTGGTCTGGGAAGAATTAAGAAGGAATCGCATGGTTTTCCAATGAGGTAGTACTCATAC